TCACTTCCGGTATCTAAGAAAGAATCAAAAATTGTTAGATTATTTATATTATAATGCAAGTACTGTAAAGATGAAAACCACTCATCTGATTTTTTTGACTCCTCCAGAGCCTTTTGGGACAAGCACATTTTCTGAATCGGTAATAAAAACCTAGACAATAGCTAATTATACGTTTTAGACTGGTTATTTTCTATTAGTACCTGTTTTTTTTTCAGATGTATAATACACAGTCCATCTATTATTTTCTTCATTATAACCATTTTCCTTATTATCCGAACCTGGGGGTGTGTTTTGGAAATTTATAGGTGTAAGAGGCTTAAAATAAGCAGTCTGATTGAAATTAGATCATGCTATTTGTCTATTAGGACAATTTTTTTTGCTATGGCACGTCTCTCCACAAATATCACATTTTCGTATATATACTTTTTGAAATTGATTAGTTAATTGATTTACTGCATCATGAGTTTCATTTATCCCCTCCTCTACTCTATCAATTTTAACAGAGACATTGCTTCGCTGTAGGCGAGATCTTTAAAAAAGTTTTATAGAATAATTTCTCTTTAAATCTTCTGCACTAAATATACCTAAATTATTTAAGTATTGTGATAAGCAATAATTTTCCATACCTTCTTCTGTTTGTAATAAAGATGATGAACCTCTTGGCTATCTAACTGGTTTAACAGTTTGAGGAGCAGGTACTTGCATTTGCTTAGCCATTTGAGATTCTAATTCTGTAACTTTCTTTACTAATGTCTGGTTTTCAGTTTTTTGTTGCACTAATGCATTCTGGATTGCTTTTTGCATATCTTCTAAAGAAATTGCATGTCCTTGCTGTTGAGGAGCTGGAGTAACTAGTGGTAAAGAATAGGACACTGGATTTATACTAGGTAAGGCTTGCATTTGATTAGCAATTTGACTCGATTTTTCTGGAATCCTTCCACTCAAATTTTGTCCATGCTCTAGCCACATATTTTTTAGTTCAGTGAAATATGCATTAATGCCTGCAGGATTAGCAATTCTCATTCAAGTATAAAAATCACCTGTTAAGTGGCTTTTAAGAAATCCTCTAACTTGCGCATCATTGTCTGCCACTCCTAATAATAATGGTCTAATTCTAGCTTTGTAGGTATCAGAAGTATCATAGGGTTGATATCTTTCTTAAGTCAATCTTTGAATAGCTGACTGTTAATTTCCAACAGTTTCTCGCTAATATTTTGCTCTCATCCAAGCCCGTAATGTATTTGGAAAATTAATAGCTGGATTTTCTACTACAAGACCATTATTTGCTGGTACTAGTGCATATTTTTCACCCATTATAGATTTTAAAATATTACACTTAACCGCATTGTCAAAATCTCCTGCATTTGCATTCTCAAGAACCGTCATATGCCCTTCAAAATATGCCTATAATTGAATAACTTTATTCAAATAATCATCAGGTGGTTCTTGACCCATATAAGATTGAAATTTTGTAAGAGCGGGGGCCATTAATTTTAATACTAGTAAATGTCTAGCATCAGCCATATTTATTTGATTTGGTGGATTATTATGAAACGCCAAAATTTGTTGATTTAAATTTAAAATATTCTGGTGCTTTGTATGAGTCTTATTTTTCTACTTCTCTTATCGTTCATATAACCTATCCCTATTATATTTTAGCAAACCTCTATCAGCTCTGCATTGTTATAGGTGATGAACATTTCGCTGATACAATAACCGGAAAGCAAAATTTTTACATAGCAATTCACCAATACACATTTGCTTTCTTGCTATATTATTTATTATTCTGTTTACTTGATTCTGAGCATTAGTTTGCAACTGCTGAAGATCAAGCAATGCCTGATCTCGCTCCTGCCTGTACATATCTCAGTCCTATCATACGTTTACCAGATCTTGTTGTAGGTTAGTGTATTTACGTCGAATTGATCATGTTGATCTTTTAATTTGATTTGTTAAAACAGTTCTACATATTGTTGTATCATTTAGTGATCGGTCTATAGCATCAGCTAATTCAGCTATTGTATCTATATTATTATCAGAATTATACAAGTCTGGAGAATTTTCATCAGAATCAGATTCATTTTCATTAAAATTTCATGCCTATGCATTTTGTAAAGCCTCTTGTGCATTTGTAAGTTCTAATCTATCTCGATATCTTAATAATGCTAAAGCAAAATTTTGACAAAGCAGGTCTGTAATATGATTTTTTTGCTAAGTTATTTTGTTGATCTTATTTATTTGATTAGTTCTTACTATATTTATTTATCTTTAAGGCATTCATTCTCATCCACTAATCTGGTTGTATAATCTTGTGCTTTAGGCATATTATCCACAAATTTTGATATTTCACAAATTCTGGTTTTTAATTTTGTCTCTCATTTATCAAACTCTGTTATTAATTTATCCTTATTAGTGATTTCTTTGTCTTTCTTTTTATTTTTTTCTTCGAGTTGGCGAACAATTCTTTTGAGTTTTGAAATTTCTTCTAACAATTCTTCTTTGTCTTGTCTAGAAAGTTCGATAGCATTATTTAGTTCTTCTTCAAGAAATCGAATTCTCTCTTCGCGTGCACCAATAGCTCTTTCCAAGTTGTATACGCATTTCTCAATATCTCTGTTTGATTGAGCTAATTGTGAGATTACCTCATAAAACTCCTGATTAGTTTATTGTAGAGACATAGTCTCATTGCTTTGCAATAACTCTTCCATGTTTTTTATTACTATAATAAAACAAAGGAATGGCGAAACCTGTAATTTATATTGACTCACAGAAGGCCCGTGATTTGGATAAGGAGATTACTTTGCAAAAAATTTATTATAGGCCTGAAGGTTATTATCGGACTGCTGAAAAAATGCATGATGCTTATAAAAGGGCTGGACATAATTTTTCATTAGCTGAGGTAAGTAATTGATAAATAAGCAAGCTGTTTTTCAGATTCATAAATCTTGCCCTAAATTTATTCAATATTTTTCTTTTAATAGAATACAAAATTTAAATGAAGTTCATCAATCTGATACTACGCCTATGCCCCATGATAAAATTGGCAACCAAATTTACAAGCACAGAGGAGTAATAAAAGATGTAGCAACTAGATTCCGTAAAAGTTATGCTTTAACTAATAAGTCATCGACATCATTAGCTAAAATGTTTATGAAAGTTTATAGTAATCCAGATTGCCCTCTTATCTGGCCTAAAGTTTTAATCATCGATAAGGGAACTGAATTTATGGGTGAATGTAAGGATTTATTACTTAGTCATGGCGTAAAAATTCAGTATGCTTACTCTAAACATGGTGTAGCTATTGCTGAACGTGACCATCAAGAATTTGAAAAACATGCTTATTTTTGGCAAGATGCTGTAAATTTTCATTTACGTTTATCTGAAAGGTGCAGAGCATGGGTTAAGGAACTTCATATAAATGATGATATTTTTAATAATACTCCTACTTGCTTAATCGAAATGCCCCCTAATGAAGCTGTAAAAAGAGCATTAAAAGAAGAAAAAATAATAGCCAGACCTTCAGTAAAGCATCGAAGGCTTATTGGATATAATGAACCACTTTTACCTAGCTATACTGAAGTTTGTCATCTTTTAGAACCTGGTGAATTAGAAGGTTGGAGAAGAAGAGCAACCAATTGTAATTGGTCTCCTGAAGTTTTTTACAATCGATTCTTATTTAATAAAAGAAAATCAACCTATTCTCTATAAGCTTTACAATGGACCTAGACACTCATTTGTAAGAGAAGAACTCCAAATTGTTCCACTAGATACAGTGTTACCACCTAAATATATTCTTAAGCATTAGACTTTTCTCCTCTCTCCTCTACTAGATATATTATTTGTTTGAAAGCATTGCTTAAATAGTTATCAATTTCAGTCTGATTGTAAACTATAATATGTTTATTTCGCAACCAATCACTTCTTAAACTTTTTTTGTTTTTATTTCCAGGCTTATCATCTAGAAGAAATTTACCTAGTAAGCATAAAGCAAACTTGAATTGCCCACGCTTATCAAATTTTTTCTCAAGTAAGTCTCTAAATTGCTTTCTTCGGCTTTCTAAAAATTTTCGTATATTACTTCTATTATCAGGGTAAGATCTGAAAACTTTTGCACAATGCACTACTATAGCTCTTCTTTTAAGTGCTGTGCCTAATTCTTCTTGCTCTCTAAATTCTAGATCTCTTTTTTGTTTATCAGTAATTTCTTCTAAGTGACTAAATTCTTCATTAATCAAATTTTTAGATTTATTATCTTTTCTAAAGAATTGCATTCTAGGTCCAGGGCTGGCTTCAGGTTCTGATATCTTTTCATATTTATCTAACTTCTCTTTTGTAAATGGTCTAATTGTGTCTTCGTCATATTGCTCAAGATCATGAAAAAGAGTTTGACAGCTATCTAGATCATTAGGTAGAAAAGGTTCAACATCTAAACCAAGTTCTTTTCATCTTTTTATCAACCTTTTTTCCTATGTTCTAAAATGCTCTCCAGGCTTGCGAGCATTTGGGTTTACCTACTGTTCAGCCTCCTCATTAGAAATATAATCTCTACCAAAAATAGGGATCGGAGCTTGCTTTTCTCTTTGATCGTGCCTATTCTCTTCATTATTAGATAATATAGGAGTAATTGTTAATGCTTCGGGAGCTGGCTTTGTAGTTTGATTAGGATCTCGAATAGCTTCCTGATTAATAGTTCAAAACTTACATAAATTCTTTCTTTTATAGTGCTCACGAAGTTTATTGAGATTTGTTAAAGTTCTTCTACAATGATCACATGTTGTATTCTTCTTATCACTTCTAGTTTTTCTAACTATAATGTTAGCTCTTACTGTCACGCTATTACTTACTTATATAATTTTTCTTTAATTATTTCCTATACCTTTCACTTTTAGATTATAGAGTTATTGCTAAAGCGCTATTTATCAAAGTGCTCTAGCTATTGCAAAAAACTAAAACATTAACTATTTATTAATTAATCTTTTGAAATTTAGTATTAAAAAAATAGGATGATTAGTGAATATTCCTGCCCATTTCTTTTTAATACCGGAAAGGTTTGTGAGAGAGCTTGTATTAGGCCTGAAGGATGCCGATTTCATTAGAAATCAAAAATTTGGATACTGTGTTCTGATTGCGGAAAGCCAACTGCTTCTGCTTGTAGCCGATGCCCATTACATGTTAAGGCTATTATATTATCTAATACTATGATAGACCTCGATCAGAGACACAGAAAAGAACTTATGAGGAAATAATGGTTGGGCTTGCAAATCTTAATATCACTCTTTGCAAGGAATGCCTCTATTTGATAAAACTAGAAGAGGAAAAATATTATGCTAGATGTCAGCCAGAATAATTATAGCAAATCGCTTAATTTTAGCTAGAATTTTGGGTGCAATATCCCTGTCCACTCGCAAGTCTTGTGTTCAGATTATTTTAGTTAACTATAGTATATAATTTATTGAGCTGACAATGAATATAATGTAATGAAGTAAATTGGCGGGGAGGATTAATATGCTATTTGATAAGCTAGCTTGTGTAAAATCTATTCTTGACTAAAAAAAGTTGAGACAAAAAATTTATTAGACTTATTTAATAATTATGCTATTAAATGAGCTAGCTTGTATAGAAGCCTTTTTTGTCTATAAAAAAAACGTTAGATTTAAAAGGTCACGTGAATTTTCGTATGACTTATTTATAAATTTCATATGATTTTTTTCGTATGACTTATTTTTTAATTTCATATGATTTATTTTTTATATGACTTAATAAATCTAACCAAAAATCAATATAGTTCTTGGCTTTGGGGGCTCTTAGAATGTATTCCAGATATGCTAATAAATCTAATAAAATTGATATAGTTCCTGGCCTTTGGAAGTCCTTAAAATGTATTTCTGATATATTATTTTTTGTATGACTTAATAAATCTTACCAAAAAATAATATAGTTCTTGACCTTTAGAAGCTCTTAGAATGTGTTCCTAATAAGCAAAAAAATCACTATAGTTTTTGCTTTTAGAAGCATCCCAGAGACTTAAATATGATATAGTTCTTAGCCTTTAGAAGCTCTTAGAATATATTCCTAATATGCAAAAAAATGATATAACTCTTGGTCTTTAGAAGCACCCGAAAGCCCAAGTATAATATAGCTGTCCCAAAACCTCCAAAGTGACATTGTGTTTATAACAAGCAGCCCATTTAGTTTTTAAAGGCTCTAATTGATATTTAATATACTATATGATTTGTGAATATTTTACTTTTAAAGATTGCTATTGGCTTTTGAAATGTTAATTGATAAAGTATTGTAATAAAAGAAAAATCAGTCTCAAAATGTTGAAATTCTTTGGACTGAAACTTTCTTTTAAAATTTTTTTTAAGTTAATACCAATGTAATATATACATAAATAATAATTTGAATTAGAAAACTCAAGTATAATAGCATTTGCCATGGCAAGATCACAATCAATAAATACTGTGAGTTTGGGCCCTATAGCTTAGTAGTTAAGCCACCAAACCTACAGACTAGGTCGAAGGTTCGAGTCAGGTTGGAGGCAAAATCTTAGGATTTTCACTTCTGTAACTCAGAAAGGGACTATAATCGAATGTGGAGTCCTGTAGTTAAATCCAAGTGCAAATACAAAACTAGAAAAGGAAATTTCTGGAAGAAGGTCTAATCATGAAGCAGTAGTACTACGCATGACACTGAATTATAGAAGGTTCTGTTATACAAAAGTTACGCATATCAGTCCTCAATTAGAGGTAACTAAAGCAGCACCAACATCTCTATATCCAACTTGTAGAGTACCTGCTTGGGAGTGTAATATGATGGTAATATAACTGAAGTAGTGAGAAAAGTGAAGAACATGAAGATGATCTGTAGAAAAAAATTGGCACAACTAGAATCAGAAGCACCTCTGGCCCCAAGCTACTTGGCCTATTAGGAAAAGAATCTACAACAACAAAATAAGTAGGCTGAAACTCAAGATATACAGTAATAACTCAAAATACAGTCAAACCTCTCTAAGTGCACCTTCTATAAGTGCACACCCTTCTTAAGTACACACCTTAGCCCGGTCTTAAGCTCGGGACTTATTGCTAAATGCACACCCTCTATACTCTGCACGTGCATTAATTTCGTGGTTCCAGACTAATAAGTACCCCTCCATAAGTACACGCACATGATTAACATAAAAATCTGACCAATAAAATTACTTGATTTATCAAATATATCAAGCCAATTTTTCGATATTACATCGCATATGA